ACAAAATTCGTATTTTAGAGCAGTTTTGCCTGATGTTTTTTGCCAATTTTCGCGGCGCTTCGCGCCGATTCGTGCGCAACCCAGACAGAGAGATTGTAACTATACAACGCCTCCTCCCCCACGCGGGTATGCAATATGCATTACCTATGCAATATGCATTACCGATCAGATTAGTGGCATACATCAGCAATTATATCCTGATGATGAGGCACTAGAGGCTTTGCCATGTCAAAATTGAATCGGACATCAGATGTGTATATAGGTAGGTACTCGGCGGGAATTCGGTCTACAGCCATTACTTAAAGGAAATGCCTAAACTACCTACTTTCCTCAAATGCCTAAACTACTAATGGATTCCTCGGTAAGGAAATGAAAAAGTGTAATTATGGGAATGACTTCAGTATTCAAACCTAAAATCGATACCGATATCTTTGGCTAGGGTGATCGTTGAGCCATAAAAGCTCCTGCTTTGTTCTCGTCTCAGCTCAGGCTACAAAACTGTTACTTCAGTTCAAAACCCAATGTTAAAAGTGGTACATTTGCTTTAAACTTTGAATGCATCGGACCGAAAAAGCCACGGTAAGAATGCCTACTTTTGGGTTTTCAGTCGGTCAGTCCGTCCCCCCCAGTCAAAAATCCGTGGCGGCGCCCCTGCTGCAGACTGTTAGCCACTGCTGTTAGATATTTCATGCCGCACCCCTGATCAGCCAGTTTCTGCAATAGAATGCTACGATTCAACTTATCATATGCCTTGATATAATCGATGTACGCGATATACAGCGTTTGTTTCGTTTTCTGAGCGTAATCGATCAGTAGCCTCAGCGTGAATAAGTGCTCTGCACAGCTTCTGCCCGGTCTACCACCTGCCTGCTCGTCGTCAGGCTTGTACCACTGAACGAATCTATCGTTTAGAATTCCACATACATAAGCTACCCTTCCCGGTTATCGACCAGTATATGGCCGTAACAGCGCTGACATTTAGCGGGCCGATGTCTACAACAGATCAGTAGAGGATTGGAGGCGATGCCCACTGGCATCTATCAACAGCTTAGAAGCATCGAACAGAAGCTCAGTAGTTCGACCAGCAGCTTACCAGCGCTGCAAACTCAACAGTGCTGATCTTACGCCCAGCAGCGCTGATCTGCAGCTCAACAGCACTGGTCACTTGGTCAGGTCATCTCAGCAGCACTGATCAGCTCAGCAGCGCCGGTCAGCTCAGCAGCGCCGGTCAGCTGACACGATTCGCTGATTACCGGCTGCGGGCGAGCGCGCCTGTTTTTGCTGGTTAAATTCACCCGTGATTAGTGGTGTGCCTGGGCCGCGCCCACTGCTCCCGACTCACTCCATCGCAAGCCAGTAGCGAGAAACTAATCAGCCCATCGGCACCTGGTCAGGGGCAAATCAGCAATCCAATCTCGCAGCGCTGTTGATGCCAAACAGTTCGTTCGGTTCGTAGAGGATGCGGGATGAGGAACTCTTCTCACGGCACGAAACCAATCACAGTTGGGTGGTTCGCTTATCCAAACACCTGTGATGGAATTCCATTCGTACGTTGCACGGTAGCACGCCGGTGTGGTCTCCGATTTAATTCATTCACACCGTTTGTTGTATCATGGATCTGTACGTTCCCATAGTCGCGCGGATTGGAAGTGCCGGCGGCGTCAGCGCGGGCTGTGATTGGTTGTCACCCTGTGGCTGACAGCTGGCTCAACCAATCACAGCCATGCCACCGGCCGAGGCCTGGGAACCGACGAAGCCAAGGGCTGAGAGCTGACGGTGCCGCTAGCTTCCGTCGTAGGGTCACACGGGTCAGCATGGGGCCAACAAACGGCTGTCAGACCGCCAGATTACCTAGCCAGTCGCCACGGGGCGCGTCAAGCCCCAGATTACCTGACAAGCTGGTGGCTTAGACGGAATTACTAGAACGGCGTCGGAGCTGGATGCTTCCGTAAGCGCCGTAAGCTTGCCCGTGAGAAGAAACGAGCGCGGTGTAACTTCGTGTTACGGCGCCGCTCAAACGTGTTATGAACGCGACAGCTAGGGGAGGGGTCGTGATTTATAGCCTCTGCACAGGATCACGCCCGACAAATTGTCACGACATCCCGGCCCGCCCCGTGTCACGGCAGCGACACGATCTTCTCACCGACACCGGCGCAGGCGTGTCGCGGGGTCTCCCGCCTCAGCACGTCGGGGCGCAGCGGCGCGACACGGCCCGGCCGCGGGTCAGGGGCCAGGGCGCCAGGTCAGAGGTCACGCCCCGCTCTGGGAATCGCACGACCGCTGCAGCAAAAACGCACGCGGCGCCGCCGGCCACGGGCCGTGTTCACACGGCGGGCCGTGTTCCCAGGGTCGTCTGGGGCCGTCGGGGCGTCAGGGACCGCGCCCCGGGCGTCAGAAAGGACTCCTAAGGGCGTCGGTATCCTCTTCCCAATCCTTGCCATGTCACCGTGTCCCGTGGTGTCCCGCTGTGATGTCAAAGGTCACACAATGTCCCGCGGACGCAGCGGGGGCTCGCCACGCTCACCTGCAACCTCCTGCAGCCTCTGCAATAAAGCACGCTGCAATCAGCGCTCGTGGGAAGGAACGCACAACGGCACAGAGGGGCGCCGGCGCCCATCAGCGCTCGCCGGTGCCCGGCGCCCTCAGATGTTGGCGGCGACGTAGCCGCATTGGAGGACCAACTAATCTCACTGCTCGTAAAGACAATTCGGTAACAATCTCAGCCTAGGTCGTAAACGACGCCCGGTCGCCGCTCGGTCGCTCTTGAGGACACAGGTGCGGCCGCAGTTGCGTCGCACCGCGCGCAGCTGGAGGTGGCAGATGATCAACTGCGAGCTCTCAGAGCCAGATGAGCTTGCTAGCGCCGGTTCTCACGACCCTCGTGAGACAGCGAGTGTACCCGACGCACGCCGACCGGCCAACGCCAGTAACTGACGCCCGTATTATAGCCGGAGTAATTGGCGGCCACGAAGGCGCCGGTGTGTTGTTCACAGTCATTGTCAGTGTTGGAGGTAGCGTCCGGCTGACGGCGTCGCTAGGGACACGTCTCAATTGCGTAGGGAAGGGATGGGATAGGGAGAGGACCGGAATGGGATAGAGGACAGGATGCGATTTGATGGAATGGAGTGGGACGCAATAGGACGGATAGGACAGATGGGTTGGGACGGGACAGGCTGTGCCGGGAAGGTTCGCACAGACAAGGGATGGGACGGGACGGGACGGGACGAAAACTAGCCGTGTCCGCACGAACCGGGACCGGGACGGACACGGGCGACACAAAACAATCCGAGAAGAGTCAGACAGGGTCTGAACAGCGTCGGCGGCGGTGTCTACGCTTGTGATTGATCGGACAGCTAGTCCCGTCCGGCAGCGGGGTGTCGCGATGTCGCGTCGGCCGTCAACGGGCCGATGGCGGGTGATCCGTCACAGGTTGTCAACGAAACTCCTCCCAGCGCGACCCAGCCGCCACCGCCGGAGCCGCTGTCATCCCACCGCCGCCGCTTCTGTCATCCCACCGCCGCCGCCGCCGCCGCCGCGCCCCCTGCAAGGCCGCCTCTGGGTCTGTCCAGGGCCTCACAGCGCGCTCACAGGCACATGACGTGCCGTCACTGGGCCAATATTTACACTGCGATACGCGATATGAGGCTGTGACTGTTGGAGAGGCAGCGAACAGCGAGCGTGGGAAAATGGTGGGAGAGAGCCGCGAAGTGGGCTGCGGAGAGTAGGAGAGGACGTGTCGTGCACGGGTAGAGACGGGAGACGGAGACGAGAGAGTGAGAGACGAGAGACGGAAGACGGAGACAGGAAGGGAGGGAGAGCGAGGCAAGACGAGGGACTCCACATAGGAAACGAGATGAATTATTTACATGAGAAGGACGGAGAGGAGACGAAAAGTTGTAATACTCGCAAAAAAAGATAAAAGATCGGTAAGGTTAACAGTGAGAACTAAGAAGCATCCGAGTAGGTACGTTATGAAACATGACTAGAAACAAAAAATCATAATAACGGCCAGACTAAGGCCGAGTTAGCAGTGCGACCAGGAAGAGGAAGACAAGCGCCACCCTTCAATGTCCTCTCACGTCCCCCAACGTCCCACAGCGCGACTCAAAGCCGGGACGGGCTGTCCCAAATACCGCTCCCGATCAGCTCCGCCCCGCATTGTTTGTTCCGAGGGACATAAAACTAGGATGTACGGATTAGCGACCAAATCACCCGTCTCAGAACAACGATCCCCGTCACATCGTCGGCCTCTGTCTGTAGAAAATCACAATGCGGTGCGTATTCAGGATCATGTCATTCAGTTTCCGGGCTGTTTGAGATGCGATACGCTGACCACCCGGTAGGGATGGAGGGACGGTCGGTGGGAAATGTGGGAGATGAAGGACGCGGTAGACGGGGTCCTAAGCCGGGCAGCTGAGGACTGAGGCCCCCGGGGAGGGGATTGAAACAGCCCGGTAGAACGACAGAGTGCGAGAGCAGCTTGGTGTGGGCCGGTAGAGGATGGAGCAGAGGAGACAAGAGGAAGAGATCACGGCATATCTGTTTGTCATGATGAAGGATGATCGACCAACGCGCTAAAATAAGACAATAACTACTGAAAAACAGGATGATACGGTCAACTGCATGGTGTTTGATGGAAAACGATGCATGTCCCGTCACCCAGTAAAACAGCACAGACCGTTACCGTTGCAACAATGAAGTAAAAATCAGCTAATGCTCTAACATTACGCATCAATATCGGAGCTCTACAGACGTGCTAATATCCAAAACCACGTTGTTTCCACGTAAATTTGGCTCTATATTTCATGGATTACCGAAGTGATAAATTGCAGACCTTCGATAACCGACGCATGTTCATGTTGTGATGGCAGCCTCGAGCCGAATACATTCCATCGGCGGATCGGGCTACCATAATCCTCCGATCGCATGTCAAGAGCACCCCGGAAAACGCTCTACGTGCCGCCACGTGCCACGTGCAGCTGCGCCACGTGCGTGCTTACCTGTTGCTGAACATGCGGAACCCAGGTGTCCAGCAGTGGCTTCAGCCTGCTCTCATGGAACTGGCCCGACGTCTTCACACTGATGAAAACATCCTCGAGTCCCGTTTTCTCGACAAGCTCCGGCGGCGGAGTGGTGGTCGCACCTGCCTCCACGAGATACGCAAACCGAGGACTGGGTCTAGTCTCTGTTTCCAGACTCTGTTCAGTCTCTTCACCATAGTCCACCGACATCGGAGCACGATCCTGCCATGATGGCTCCCTCTCAACCTCAGTCTCAGCCACTCGGGCAGCGCTTCGACCAATCACTGCACCGAGATAAACACACACGCACAAGGAACACACTCCCTGCAGGATACGCCGGCGCGTCTCACGCATCTCTGCGACTGGCATTACGCCACCAGCTCAGATCGTCTCAGAGCGGACGCCGGTCTACGGAGCGCCCGCGCGCGACCTTCCCGCTCGACGTCTGTGAGGCAACTGATTTGCCGCGCCGCCGCGGCGCGGGCGGCGGGCGGCGGCGGCGGCGGCGCGGGTCCCAGGCCCTGGACGGACGGGCAGGCCGGCAGGGTTTGGTGTCCAGATGTGAGCGGACCAAGGGGAGGAGGGGAGGACAGTGGTGGTGATAAACACTGGCCCCTGTCAGAACCAAGGGTCACCTGCTACTGCTGGAGCCACCGCATCAGCATGGAACGGGAGGGGCTTCTAGCTGTGGAGTGGATGTGGACTGTGGAGTGTGGACTGCGAGTGGACCGTGGATGGCTGTAGACGCTGTGAGCTGTGGAAAGCATGGGATGTTTTGGGTCAAGTCTTGTGATGTAATTGTCTGTGAATAATAATTGTTTGCAACAAATTATAAAAAATGGCAAAAAAAATATTAGGGCACTGAACTGACTCCTAAGAAGGCAGTGAATGACTTTTCTGTCCATTTATTGCTACAGTTTTTTTCGCAGAAAATATCAGCTGCGAAGTGTGTAGTCTGTGTCTTAGTCATTGCGTGGTTCGAGCGATGATGGTGCGCGTCGTATTGCGAGCCAGGGTCTTATGGCGACGGTGAGTCGGCGGAGGGAGAAATTGATCAGCCTTTGTCTAGGGTTCAGAATGACGTGATATGACGTGATATGACGTGTACAGAGGTATGATCTAGGCTAATGTGGTGAAGCCGGGCAGTGCGCTCCGGGACACGAGCGGGTACGGGTGTGAATAGAGGCATCTGAGTGTACTGGACTTTTTGCATTACTACAAGCTATTTCGGCAACCATGTCACAGGAAAGCGCTGTGGCAAGTTCGGCGCTGGACATGCGGCTAATCCCCGAGTTCGATGGCGGTAACGCCTCTGTGGAAGAGTGGCTGGATAAGACGGAGCTCGTCTGTCAGCTGCGCGGAGTGTCCGACATTCAAACCGTCGTCCCCCTGCGGTTGACCGGCGGAGCCTTCAGCGTCTACCAGCAGCTGAAGCCCGAGGAGAAGCTGCAGTACTCTGCCGTCAAAGCTGCCCTGCTGCGGGCGTTCGCTGTGGATAAGTTCCAGGCGTACGAGGAGTTCACGGCGAGAAGACTTCGTGTCGGCGAGAGCGTCGACGTCTACCTGGCAGACCTGCGGCGGCTGGCCTCCCTGTTCGGCGGGCTCGGCGACACGGCGCTGATGTGCGGCTTCGTGGCCGGTCTCCCGGATGCGGCGAGGCATACCTTGAGGGCCGGCTGCCGCATGGAGAGCCTGACGCTGGCCGAGCTGGTGGAGCGGGCTCGGGCGCTGATGGCAGAGAATGCCGTCGCTGCAGCCGCTGCCGCCGCTGCGCCGGCCCGTTCCCGCCACACGCCGGCGTCATCACGGTGTTACCGCTGCGGTCGAGCCGGTCACTTCGCTCGTGACTGCCGGGCGGAGAGGAGAGCGGACATCATCTGTTTCCGGTGCGAGCAGCCAGGACACGCCGCGGCACGCTGCCCGGAACGGATGCCGGGAAACGCGTCAGGAGAGGCGGTGTCTGCGCCAACCTCCTCTCGGGCAGCCCAAGAGTAAGAGGCGCGCTACCGACGGTGCAGCTGCTGGTGAATGGGCAGCGCAGAGTGGCTGTTATCGACTCGGGCTGCAGCTGCACCATCATCCACGAGTCGTGCTGCGCGAGCTGGAGACGGTGCGGCGTGACTGTAATGGCCGTCAACGGGTCCCGGCTGCCAAGCAGCGGAGTAACGGAGGTGGCGGTTCAGCTGAAGAGCGGCGGGCCCGCGGTGACGCTCAGCGCCGTGGTAGTGCCGGACAAACCACTGGGCGTGGATATGCTGGTGGGGATGACCGGCATCGCGGCGCTGGGCGGGGTGACAGTGCGGGCGGCGGACGATGTGGTGTTCGGTGCCAGCGAGAGGCCCGACGTGGCCGTGCCGGGCCCGGGAGGGGTGCCGCCGCGATGCAGCGCCGTGACGCCCCCGGCGTTGACCGTGGAAGAGCGAGACTTCACGGTCACTTATGACGCGAAAAGTCAACACTGGACGGTGGCGTGGAAGTGGCGGAACGGGGCGGAGCCAGGGTGCCTGAGGAACGGTGTCCCCCAGTACGGCGTGCCGGCCGAGGCACGGCAGGAGTTTGATGCTGAACTCCGTACATGGATCGACAACGGCTGGCTGGAGCCGTACGACGAGACGGTGGACGGGCCGCCGCGCGGGCTGATCCCTCTCATGGCTGTTGAACAGCAGAACAAGACTAAAGTACGACCAGTCTTAGACTGCCGCGAGCTCAACAGCCATGTGGAGGCACACACGGCCGACGCTGACGTATGTGCCGACACGCTGAGGAAATGGCGGCGGCACGGGGCCAACGTCGCCGTCGTCGACCTGAAGAGGGCGTACTTGCAGCTCAGGACCGATCGTCGGCTGTGGCCGTTTCAGACAGTCGTGATTGATGGCCAAAGGTACGCTCTTACCCGTGTCGGATTCGGGCTCAACGTCGCGCCTCTCATCATGAAGGCGGTGGTGCGGACGGTGCTGCAACAGGACCCAGTGATGCAGGGCGCCGTCATACCGTACGTCGACGATCTGTGCGTCAATGAGGACGTGGTGAGCGCGGAGCGCGTGATCGCCCACTTCGCGAGCTATGGGCTCCAGTGTAAGCCGCCGGAGCGGGCTGCGGACGGAGCGCGGCTGCTGGGACTGCGTGTGGAGCCAGTCGGGGGTGGGCTGGCCTGGAGGCGTGACAACCCAGTCGGCTCACCGCCCGCGGCAATGACGCGGCGCTCCGTGTTTTCATGGTGTGGTCGTATCGTGGCGCACCTGCCGGTCTGCGGTTGGCTGAGACCAGCGACAGCGTGGCTGAAGCGTCGTGTCAACTCTCTCACACGCGGGTGGGATGACGTCACACACGACGCGGCCCTGCGGGAACAGCTGAAGCACGTGGCTGAGCGACTGGCGAGCGAGGACCCGGCCCGTGGGCAGTGGTGCGTGACTGGGCACCGCGCCGTACTGTGGACGGACGCCAGCTCGATAGCCGCCGGCGTCGTGCTGGAGAGCGAGGGAGGTGACGTCATCGAGGACGCGTGCTGGCTCCGCCGGGACGAGGCCACCCACATCAACATGGCGGAGCTCGACGCCGCCGTGCGGGGCATCAACCTGGCCCTGGCGTGGGACATGAAGACCATCGAGCTGAAGACGGACTCCGCCACTGTTCACCGGTGGGTCAGCGACGCTCTGAGCGGGCGCGCGAGACTGCGAACCAAGGCACATGGAGAGATGCTTATCCGCCGGCGGGTCGACGTCATCAGGCAGCTGGTCGCAGAGCTGGGCATTTCTCTCACCGTGTCTCTAGTCCGCTCGTCTCAGAACCGTTCGGACACGCTGACCCGAGTGCCGTCCCTGTGGTTGCGTCAGGACTCGCAGCCAGCGGACCAGCGGCCGAGCGATGGACAGCCAGTGGCAGCAGCGGCAGTGGTTGGATCGGAAGTGGGAGACGGCGGCGGCGCCGTTACCGTGGACTTCCGACAGGCCGTCACTGACGTACATGTCAGGGCGGGTCACCCGGGTGTCCGACGAACGCTGTATTTCGCGCGTCGGGATGTGTCATCGTCGATTTCCCGGAAAGTGGTCAGGGAAGTGGTGACGGCCTGTGACGTCTGCCGCGCGGTTGACCCGGCGCCGGTGACCTGGAGGCACGGGTCGCTGGCTGTGGAGGGGACGTGGGACCGGCTGGCCATCGATGTCACGCACTACGGTGGTCAGTCCTACTTGTCGGTGATAGACTGTGGCCCGTCACGGTTTTGTGTGTGGAGGCTGCTGCGGCGGTCGGACGCGGCGACAGTCACGAGTGAACTCGAACAAGTGTTCGCGGAGCGAGGCGCACCGGCTGAGCTTCTGGCGGACAACGACACCGCTTTCCGCAGTCGTCAGTTCGCCGCTTTCGCTGCCCGCTGGGGAGTGCTGCTGCGTTTCCGCGCAGTGCATCGCCCCAGCGGGAACTCCATCGTGGAGCGGAACCACCGCAGTGTCAAAGTGATCGCGGCGCGGAAGAAGTGTGGCATCGGAGAGGCCGTGCACCTGTACAATATCACGCCCCGTGACGGCGGGACGGCGGCTGAGGCGCCCGCCAACGGCATCTACCGCTACCCTGTGAGGGACGCCGTGAGACAAAGAGCTACCGCCGGAGCGTCCGAGGAGGCCGTGATAGGACGGCCGCCAGCCCGGCGGGAGGGCGACTTCCAGGTGGGGGACGCCGTGTGGGTGAGGCGGCCGGGCACCCGCTGCACCGAGCGGTCGGTTCGAGGAACGGTGTCTGGCGTGGTGTCGCCGCAGGTGGTTGAAGTGGGCGGCGTGCCTTGGCACATCAGAGACCTCCGCCACTGCGGTGACACCGGGGGACCAGCAGCAGGCCCTCGGACCCCCGACCGGGGCAGCGGGGGCCCACAGGAAGCGGAGGAGGACCGTGCCGGGTCCCCGATCGTCATGACATTCGGTTATGAGGGCGATGGCGCGCCGGGGCGCCCGGTGGAGGAGGCTGATGATGCGGGTGGTGAATGCGGCCGGTCTGAGAGCGACAGCGGCGAAAGGGTGGTGCGCCGAGGTCAGCGTAATCGGCGGCCGCCTGACTTCTTCGGCCACGTGGTGCCGATTGATGCGTTAAACAGCAGCAGCGGAAGTGATGATCTTGAGGATCAGGGTGAGGTGTAGTCTGTGTCTTAGTCATTGCGTGGTTCGAGCGATGATGGTGCGCGTCGTATTGCGAGCCAGGGTCTTATGGCGACGGTGAGTCGGCGGAGGGAGAAATTGATCAGCCTTTGTCTAGGGTTCAGAATGACGTGATATGACGTGATATGACGTGTACAGAGGTATGATCTAGGCTAATGTGGTGAAGCCGGGCAGTGCGCTCCGGGACACGAGCGGGTACGGGTGTGAATAGAGGCATCTGAGTGTACTGGACTTTTTGCATTACTACAAAGTGACCAAAGCAGCGAGAGTGGATGACGTAATTTACCAATTTACCATTAAATAAATAAAACTCC